TGCGCGTGCGCGTGCGCGTGCGCGTGCGCGCGCGTGCGTGCGTGCGTGCGTGGGTGGGTGGGGCGTGTGTGTGGGGTGTGTGTGTGTGGGGCGTGTGTGTGTGTGTGTGTGTGTGTGCGGCGGCTACCCACTATGCTGCCCCCTCCCAGCAGCCCTCGAAAGCGGCGACGGGTTTGCAGATCGCAACCCCCCAAGGATGGCGAGGTCTAATCTGAGTCCGCGGCGGCTACTCACCACGCCTGGTGCGTGCGCGCGTCGCCCCCCCCCCCGCTCCCCCCAAGCAGCTCTCGAAAGTGACGACGCTTCGCCAAATCCCCCCCCCCCCCCCCCCCCCCCCCCCCAGGATGGCGAGGTCAATTTGGGCCCTGCGGCTGCTAACCCACTACGCCGCCCCATCCCCCCCCCCCCCCACCCCAGTAGCCCTCGAACGTCGTGACACTTTCGCAGGTCGCAGCCCCCCAGGCAAGATGCACACACAATAGGCACGCGCAAGGCAAGGCATGAGGCGGAAGTCGGGGAAAGAAAGGAGGAGACGCGACCGCAGTGCTCTACTCAAAACGAATACCCAACCTAGGAGGGCTGGGACAAAAACATTCGCAAAAGGCATAAGGACGCAGGAGGGATGCGGGAAGGAGGAGGAAGGACGCGCGAACAGTGTTCCATATTCACAACGGGTACCGAACCTGAAGCGGGCTGGGAAACTTACCCTGGCGACGTACCCAACCCCTGCGCAATGCGGTGCATGAACAGCTTGGGAGACGTTTTACGTTCCTGACGACGTGACATGGGCACATCTACTTCTGCGAGCGGCATTCGCGAGGCTCGCAGTCCCCCAAAGAATTGCGAGGTCCCACTCAGATCTGCGCGGTGCCCCACTCCGCTGGACCCGCCACCAGCCTACGAAAAGAACGACGGTTTCGCAGATCGCAACCCCCCAAGGACGGCGAGGTCCCGCTCAGATCTGCGCGGTGCCTCATTCCGCTGGACCCGCCACCAGCCCTCGAAAGTGGCGACGGTTTGGTGGCAGTTTCGTTAAACGCAGCCCCCCAGGGATGGCGAGGTCGAATTTGGGTCCGCGGCGGCTTACCACCATAGCTGCCCCCCAAAACAGCCCTCGAAACTGGCGACAGTTTCGTGACAGTTTCGTACATCGCAGCCCCCAAGGGATGGCGAGGTCTAATCAGGGTCTGCGGCGGCTACCAACTATGCTGCCCCCCCCAGCAGCCCTCGAAAATGGCGACAGCTTCGCAAATCGCAGCCCCCCCGGGGTCGGCGAGGTCGGAGACAGGTACCACAGGTAACAGGCACACACGGGGCAATTACGCACAAGGCAAGAGGAAACAAAAAGGACGGGGGGCGAAAGGCAGGAGGCGGGAGGCGGGAGAAGGAGAAGACGCGACCGCAGTGCTCCAGTCAAAACGCATACCCAACCAAGGAGGGTTGGGAACCATACAAAAACAAGAAGTGGCCTCCAAACCTGGAGCATGCGCGGGCGCCCCGCGACCACCTGGCATTTGTGTTTGGCAGAGACGGCGGGGTGCCGGCATATTGTTTGCTGCGCGCATGCCCCCCCTGCCCCCCCCCGCACACACACACACACACACACACACACGCACACACGCACACACACACACACGCACACACACACACACACACACAATTCCCATGAACAAACCATACGAAGTACATTTTGCACCAAAATCTGCATCATGCGCGGACGCCTCGCGCTCACATTGCGTTGGTTTTTGGCAGGGATGTCGGGGATGCTGGCGTACTTTCTGCCCTGTGCAGCCCCGCCACCCCTTCCAAAAGGGGGGGCAACGAGCTCATTTTGCCAGGGACGCCAAGGGTGCGGCATACTGCCATCTCTGACGAGGAAAACAAAAAAAACATGCAACAAACTGTGCGCAAACACTCGCACCAAACAAACGTTCCGTCACTTTGCATCAGTTTCTGACAGGGACTGTGGGAGGGTCGACATATTGCCCAATGTGGCGCACCTGGCGCGCGTGGCGCAGCTGGCATTCGTTGCGCACCTCGCGGGCTTCGCGCACGTGGCTAGCGCTTGCATTGGTCACCGATGGTTGTCGATGGCGGCCTCTGTCCATGCTGAGGTTCGGGTGCTACCTATGTGCTGGGATTGCGGGCAGGCATGAGCCAAACGGCTTGTTGATTGTGAGTAACTTGATCCCTCCCCTACCCCCAACCCTTGAGTCTGGACGGGGCGCCCTGCGAGGCGTTAGAGCGTCCAAGAAGGCGAGAAGGCACAACTCTTTGATCGCCTCTTGGTTTGGGCAGCGCCTGGCCTCCAAGAGTTACAGAGTTGTTGAAGGGCCTCGTTTCTTTGATCGATAGCCTCCCAGATCGCCCCAAGCTGGCCCGACAAGCTCCGGAGAGAGCCCCAACGAGCCCCCCAAAAGCCCCAAGGCCCCTCAAGAGCCTGCAAGAGGCCCCCAAGACGCTCCAACGTACCTCTACGAGGCCCTCAAAAGAAACACAAGGTAGCATCCAACGAGCCTCTGGCCCACACGGGCCCCAGACATCTCCAAATGATAGCACACGCACCCGTCGAGGGCAGCTCCGCCGCGCATCGTGTCTGCGTGCGTTGATGAAGCTATTTTTGGGTACGCAGGCGCACGAATCAGGTCGGACGCCGGGCAAGCAGAAGCAGGCCATGCCACCTTCGAGGGAAACATCAATGCGACACACTAGTGATGGGCACTTTTTAGTCAGCGGCCGCAGGCGCGAGCGCCAGCGCCGAGTCGAGTCAGAGCGGGCCGCGCAAAGACGAATTAACCTAAAGCGGTGGGCCGACTGGTGAGGATACTTTTTTAGTCAGCGGCCGCAAGCGAGCGCGACAGCGGCGAGTCCAGTCAAAGCGGGGCACGCAGCGACAAATTCACCTAAAGCAGCGGGGCGCAGCCTCACCTAAAGCGGCTAAACGGAGCCTCGCGCAGCACCTCAGCGGCGGACCGGCGTGTGGAAGGGGTTGGCTGAAACTGAGTCGTACTGCCAGCGTGCAAATCCGCCGATCCGGCGTGTGAGTTTCTGAGAGCGTGGGCTTGAGTGCGCTCAAGCTTCGCTCTGGGGGGGGGTCCGGCGAATTATCCACGTAATTCAGTGAATGCTCCAGCGCGGGGGGGGGGTCCAGAATGGAGCTCGGCGAGGAACGGGGGGGGGGGCTCCAAGCTCAAAGGGGGGGGGGGGTTCAAGGAGGAAGCTCGAGCGGGGACGGAGGGGGGGGCGAGTTCAAGCGGGGAAGGGGGGGGTCAAGAACCGGGGCGGGCAGCGGGGGGGGGCGATCCAAGAATCGAGCGGGGGGGGGGGGAAGCTCGAGTGAGGACGGGGGGGGGTCGAGCTCATCGAAAGGGGGGGTCCAAGGAGGAAGCTCGAGCGGGGACGGGGAAGGGGTCGAGCTCAAGCGGGGGGGGGGGCCAAGAAACCAGGGCTGAACGCTCCAGCGCGGGAGGGGGGGGGGTCCAAGAATCGAAGGGGGGGGGGGGAAGCTCGAGTGAGGACGGGGGGGGGGTCCAGCTCAAGCGGAGGGGGGGGGTTCAAGGAGGAAACTCGAGCGGGGACGGGGGGGGGTCGAGCTCAAGCGGGGGGGGGTCCAAGAAACCGGAGAGGGCAGCGGGGGGGGGGATCCAAGAATCGAGGGGAGGGGAGCGCCAGACATGGCAGATATGCGTCGCTATCACGATTCGCGAGTCGTGCGCGCCTGTAGACATGCGGCGAATGCCGTTTCATCCACGGCACATTGCACGCGCGAGTACGTTGTTGCGCAAATGCACCTCATTCGGGCCACAACTCGCAACTCTTCACAGACACTTGCATTGCGCAGGTGCACCTCATGCGGGCCACAACTGGCAGCTCTGCAAGTACACCAGTAAGCAAGGATGGTCAATAACAGTCGCCTGAGCGGTGAGACGCAGAAAAAGGTGAGAGCACAACTCGGCATTGGCCATGGGCATCCCCAATGGTCTTCGATGTATTACATGATTGACCCGCCTACCGTGGCGAAGTTGAGTATTGAGCAAGGTGCGAGGAGGCAAGAGCGTATGCAAGCCAAAGCAATCCTGTCATGTATGACGGGCACGCGGCCCATCGGGTTCCTCCTCCCCTCCAGATTATCATCCGCCGCACCCGCTTTCCCAACTTAGTCACATATGCTTGCCTTGGGCGTCCATTTTTCAGACGGCACCTGATGTCGCCCTCGAATTGCCCCATCACGGCTAGGCTGGATTCGTTATCGCTCCTTTCGTCGTCGCTCAATCTCTGCTCAACGCGGTCGGGCGATGGCAGTTCACAACGTTTCAGTGGGACGCGATGATTATTCGCCCCTTTGACCTCGATGGATCTCTTGTTCCTCGTCACTCTCTTCCTGCATATTTTTCCTCCTCCTCCTACTGGTCTTTGTCCGTCCTCCTCGGCGAAGTGTGCTGCAAAGAAGTCCCACCAGCCCTTTGGGCGTGAGTGGTTTAGCGAGCTCTCTCTGTTCTCAACCCCCCAACCCCCTTTCTTCGCCTTCGGGGAGGGGTTTACCCCTCCCCCTACCCCCTCCCCCTGGGCCTGGAGAGAGAGCCCCGCGGGTGGTCAGGGGGGTCTTTTTCGACGCCTGGGAGGGCCAAAAAACAACGACCCTCACGAGGATTCTGGCCCCGACGGGGGGACCCTCTTGTAGTACCCTCCTCTTCTGTGAAGCCAAAATCATTGCTGTTACGATGGTTTTGGCCCCATTTTGGCCTCCCGAGGGGGCCGCGCTCATCTTCCTTCATAGCAAAATCCTTGATTTTACGAGGGTGTTGGGCTCATGTTGTCCTTCTCAGGGGGCAGCGCTTCTTTGCGCTTCTGAGGAGGTCGCAAGAGGCCCCAAGATGGCCCCAAGAGCCCCCAGGAGCCTCCCAAGAGGCCTCCAAGAGGCCCCCAAGAGGCCCCCAAGAGGCCCCAAGAGGCCCCCAAGAGGCCCCCAAGAGGCCCCCAAGAGGCCCCCAGAGGCTCCAGGAGGCCCCCAAGAGGCCCCCAAGAGGCCCCCAAGAGGCCCCCAAGAGGCCCCAAGAGGCTCCAAGAGGCCGCCAAGAGGCCCCACGAGGAGCCCGAACGACTCACACCAGGACGAGGGGCCCGAACGACTCATACCACGAAGAACCCGAACGACTCACGCCAGAAGGAGGACCCCGAACGACTCCTACCAGGACGAGGCGCCCGACCCATTCACACCACGAGGAGCCCGAGCGACTCACACCACGACGCGCGCCTCGAACGACTCACACCACGAGGAGCCCGAACGAGTCACACCAGGAGGAGGGGCAGCGCTCATACAAGCCACCACGCGGAGCCCGAACGACTCACACCACGACGAGGGCCCCGAACGACTCACACCACGAGGAGCCCGAACGAGTCACACCAGGAGGAGGGGCCCGAACGACTCACACCAGGACGAGGGGCCCGAACAACTCACACCACGAGAAGCCCGAACGACTCACACCAGGACGAAGAGCCCGAACGACTCACACCACGAAGAGCCCGAACGACTCACACCAGGAAGAAGGGCCCGAACGACTCACACCAGGACGAGAAACCCCAAACGACTCAAACCACGAGGCGCGCTTTCTCTCCCTCCTCCTCCGCCTCGTCCTTCTCCCGCTCCCCCCACAAGGAGGATGTACAAGGAGGCGGGAGGAAGGAGTAACAGGGGAGATATGCGGGGCAGGCGGAAACACGCCTGAAAAACACGACTGTCGGCATGCTTCGCAAGAGTTGCTGTTGAGAGATGGGCTGGTGGGGATACGCGAAGCGTAAAGAATTTAATCGCCTCCATCACCAACAACGCTCTGTGGCTGCTCGGTACATTCATTCGAGTACTTACCCGGTATGATCGGCCCGTTTAAAGTTCGGTGGAGCTTGGTGTCGACCTCATTTCCTACAGGAGCCCGAAATGCTACACCTCTGCCCTGTCGTACCTTAACCCGGAGGCCCCTAAAGTTCTGGAAATGCGGGCCATGGAAGCCCTGGAAAAACGGGATGCCCGTAACATGATCGACCCACGAACCCGGACAAGAATGTAGCCATGTGCAGCATAACCACATGTTCAAGACACCTGATTGAGCGACAAGTAATAGCAATGCAAAATGTATCGATATTGATGTACCGTGCAAAAGGCTGTGCTGTGCTTTCCCGTGCTGAATTGCGATGTACCATGCCGCGATTGTGCTCTCGCGTTGTGGATCGAGTCCTCCTTAGCATCCGAGCCCTGACCGAACTGCTCTAGTTCGTAAGCTCGAACTGCCTGAGCACATAGTAGATGCCCCAAAGCTAGTTGAAGTGGAAACGTGGAGGACGTTCAATCAACTAAACCTCAAAATCCGACTCAACTCCGAAAAGAAACGACACTACACGTGGCACAGGCACACGGACGCACCACAGGATGTGCCAGGAGCGCAGTAGGGGATGCGCCAGGGGACGTGCCAGGGGACGTGGGACGTAACAGGACATGCCCTGGACATGCCAGGGACCAGCCACGGGACGTGCCAAAGCGCGTGCCATTGGGCGGACGTCATGCCAAGGGGCGTTGTAAGGGGCGCGCCACGTTGCGGGCAGGGGAAACGCCTGGGGACGAGCCAGGAAACGCGACAGAGGCCGAGCAAGGAAACGTGGCACGCCGAGTTGCGTGCCAGGGGACGTGCCAGGGCACGTCAAGCCAGAACGTCGCAAGGGACGCGCCAGGGGACGCGCCAGCGCGCCAGGGGACGCCCCACGGACGGGCGGGGTTGCGACGCACTCTACTGCGACAAGCGTTACGCTCGAGACATCCTCAACCAATCCTCATACTGGACATCCGCCTTGGCGACCTGGGCACGTGAAGCAAGCGTCTCGCTCGAGACATCCTCTACTTACTCTCATGTAAGACATCCGCCTGGGCGACTTGGACGCATGAAACAAAGCGTCTCGCTCGAGGGGTTCTCAACACTTCCTCATGCTAGATATCTGCCTGGCCAACCTTGACGTGAGAAAACAAACGTCTCGCTCAAGACATCTTCAACACATCCTCATGTTAGACATCCGCCTGGGCGGCCTAGAAACGTGAAAACAAGCATGTCGCTCAACACATCCTCAACACATCATCATGCCAGACATCCGCCTGGGCTGGGCGACCTGGACACGTGAAAACACGCGGGCCGCTTGAGACATCCTCAACACATCTTCATATAAGACATCCGTCTGGGTAACCTGGGCACGTGTAAATAAGCGCCTCGCTCGAGAAGTTCTCAACACCTCCTCATGCTAAACGTCTTCCTAGGCGACCTGGCCACGTGAAAGCAAGCGTCTCGCTCGAGACATTCTCAACATATCTGTATGTTAGACATACGCCTGGGCGACCTAGGAACGTGAAAACAAGCGTTTGGCTCGAGACGCTATCAACACATCATCATGCTAGACATACGCCTTGGCGACTTGGACACGTGAGAACAAGCGTCTCAGCCGAAACATCCTCAACACAGCATCACATCATCATGCTAGACATATGCCTGGGCGACTGGGACGCATGAAAACAAGCGTCTCGCTCGATACATCCCAACGCATACTCAGGCTAAACATCTGCCTGGACAACCTGGACGCGTGAAACCAAGCGTCTCGCTCGAGGGGTCCTCAAGACTTGGGCACAAGAAAATAAGCATCCCACCGGAGACATCCTCTGTATTCTGGCCCACAGAGGAACAATCTACAACACATAAAAAACTTCGTTCGAGACATCTTCGACAATTTTTACAAAACAAGCTGTTCGCTCGAGACATCCGCAACCATCGAAAATGTTAATGTTACCATGTTCAGTCGATCGGAATTTCAACAACAACAACAACAACAACAACAAAAAATCGCTTGGGACATCCTCAATTGACTAAATTGTCGGCCCTGCGGGACTCCGTCTTCAATCGCAGAATAAGTTCGCCAGCCCTGCGCAAGTCGAGGCAGGGGGACACAGCTAAAAGAGAACCCTGGGCCCATGCCCTTTCCAGACAAAAAAGGTGCCATGAGAAGACGGGCTTGACTCACTGCCTATCGTGTCCCTGGACCCCGCAATGTGCACCAAATGACATGCCTCCCCTACGTGGATGCGTGGATGGTAATCAGCTCTATGGCTTATCAGTATGATGACTACTACATTGAGCCGTTTTTTGAGGTTCAAAAAGGTCCTCGACGAGAGCCCCCTCCTGAGGGTGAGCAATTGGGGCAAACATCTAGGGTATGGTGGGCCCGCTGCTGACCGCTGCCCTCGGCCGCTGCATTTTGCTATCCTTGCGTGTTTTCACCTGTTCTCGGGAGCTAGACGGGATGGGGATGTGCAGGATGAGTTGGAAAGAGTTCTCATGCATGGGCCTGTGACTATCATCGTGATCTCCTGTGGTCTGGCGTGTGACCCGCTGAATGGCGATCCCACTCGTGATGACATTGTGCAGACATGGGATATTCTCTTGAGGTCATGACGCGGTATTGGTCTCATTGGAGGATCTGCTGGAAAGCACCACAAAAGGATTCGATTGGAAGGTCTCACAATAGGAGCCCTTTGGAAAGATCCACAAAAGGATTAGATTGGAAGGCCTGACAACGCCTCACAGCAGGATTACAATGGAAAGCCTCATAGCACGATTCCTTGGGAATGAACCACACAAAAAGTAGATGGGCGAGGCGAGGCGAGGCGAGGCGAGGCGAGGCGCGCCTGAGTCCGCCGGGGGGCGGGGCCTGGAAGGCCGGCGCGGGCGGGCCGGGGCCCTCAGTCACAGAAGTGGGAGTTGTGGTCAATGCTGTGTGTGTCTGGGAATGCTTGCTCCAAATTGTTCCACTGGTCGCTGTGTTGTGCTACTGTATACCATCTTCCGCTGCCAGGTTCAAGAAGCATCTTCGCTGTCAAAAACTGCGTGATATCGTCTTCCCACCGTTTCCTCTGACGCCCGTGCCTGCGGACTGCTTGCCGGTGGTCGTGGATGTCTGGCTCCCACGTCGCAGCAGTCGGCTCCATCTGTCGTACGGTTGGTTTGCAA